ATGAGCATTGATTCTTGTAGATATGGATGGAACAGAGTTGGCTTATCCTGTAAATGCAGATGCTGTCAAGATATTCTACTCGTGAAATAAAATGACCAACTTGATTAAACATTTCAGAAGATGATTTGGGCCACTTTAGAATATGTGCATAGCATGCATATCATGCATTTCATAAACATGTTTGTTCATTTTGCAGAATACGACCCAAAGGAGTTTACGATGGCAAAAGATCTTAAATTTCTCAAAAGAGTGGGTAAAAGGTGAAGGAATGTATTGTTCCAATTTACTCTTCATAATGTTACTCTTTAGTATTGTTCTTTCTTTTTATCATCCCCAGGAAGTTCAAAGGAAGGAAAATAGAAAAAAGTTCAATCCCCAACAAGCAAATCAGTGGAAAAGATTGAGAAGACGATTTCCCATAAATACCCAAGCTAGAACAGTTGAGAGGTTGGTTGTATCGTTTCAATTTGGAATGAGCAATACAAGAACTTATTTTGACATGGGGTTTTAACTTTTGCAGGGATCCTAGCAAGAAGGTCAGGTAAGTACTCTTAACTCATGAATTTAGATTTCCAAAAAAATTGTTTTTCAAAAAAAGATTGGGTTTATCTCCCCAAGCAAAATAACATGAATTCAAAATGAATCCTTTCAAAACTCATCTCAAAGAATTTCAGTCAAAAAAGTTTTGAAACATACATTCTTTGAGCATGCGTTGTGCATCAGAATTCCTTAAAAATGATGATTTGACAAAAGTCATGAAAGTTTTCAGAGAAAATGTTTGGATGAAATCAAATGGAAAAACCTTCAAATGAGGAAAGGTAAATCATATCCAAACACACCCTTTATACACTCGAGTGGAATGAAGAAATGAGTGTCAAAAGTGAAAAAAAAAATCTCATCCAAAGGAGATAGGAGGTATTCACAATGATTACATGAATTGAAATGATGAAAGGTAATCATTTTATTATCCCAAACACATGGCTACCTTTTGCAAGCCAAATTTAAGCCTGTACAATGGAGAAATCTTTCAAAACGAACCCATTAAGAACCACCCCATATTGGGGCAAATCAGGAGTTTCGTGGTTGACATTTATGAAGAAAAGGATCAAGAAAGATTTAATTGCATACATTTGCATCAATCTTTCTGTGATAATTTTAAATGAAGCTATGTGGAAGCTCACAACATCTCAAGAGGAAGAAGAGCATTTCATTTCCATAACCCAAACACATTATCCTTTGAAAAGCCCAATTGAGCTTGAACATTCATTTCTAAACCCAAATTGGTGATCATCTCCTCACATTGGGGCAAAGCATGTGATCCACCTCAGATTGATAGAAATGAAAAGACATGATAGAGAGTCCTTACAACTCAAAGAGTCAAAAGCCAAAAGAATTAGAAGTACAAGTGCAAGAAAGCTAAGGGCATGAAAAAGCAGTGTGCCTGGTAAAAGCAAGGCCAATGCCCAGCAAAAGAGAGTGAAAAGAAAAGAGAAGAAAAGCATTCAAAAGAAGAATGGCAAAAGTCATGATAAAAGAAAAGCAAAAAGTTGTGAAAGATTAAAGATCACAACAAGCTAGAAGTTGAAAAGGGAAAGACCATGATGAGCATTTAGAGGACTCTTGTAGTCATGAAAAGAAAAGATCTCCTGTGGACACAAGAAAAGGGGTGGTGATGCTAAGAAGATCATCAATTTCATAAAAACCCCGAATTAAAAAACAAATGAGTATTTTGAGCCTACCCAATACCAACATTACAATCTCTCCCCAAAAAATTCTTTTCAGATTGGGATGTTGAGAGTGAAAACGTGAATTCATAACAAAAGCCATCACTTAAAGAAGTGTGTGCAATCTTGTCTTGTCTTATTCTTGAGGTTCTTAACTTGTAGACCGAAGTGAATCAAAAGACAATAAAATTCTTTCTTGGCCTTAAAATGCCTATCCTTTGAATAGACATTAACCAAGCCTACATTACGATCCTTCAAAAAGACCTTGTCAGATCAATCAGATTGTATACATTGCGAATATCTCTGAATACCCGAGGATTAGTTATGAGAGATAAATTGAGAAGTACAAGATGATTCCCTTATCGACAAATAAAAGAGATAAACCAAATTCATAGATTGAGATAAATTCTTTCTAATGAAGGTATTCCAATTGATCATTTCAAGCATTTCTTGAAAGATTTCAAGCAATTTGCTCAAATACTTCCCTTCAGAGGAAATTTGATTGTCAAAATGCATTATTAACACAAAGAATGCATGTTTTTGAATATCAAAATTACCCTAATTTTCGAAATGGTTTTAGGGTCTTTCCTTAAACCCTAATTTTCAAAAAAGGTTTTAGGGTCTTTCCTTAAACGTTAATTTTCAAAACGGTTGTAGGGTCTTCCCTCAAACCCTAATTTTCAAAACGGTTTTAGGGTCTTTCCTTAAACCCTAATTTTCAAAACGGTTTCGGGTCTTTCCTTAAACCCTGGCTTTACAAAGGTTTTGCGGGATTATCCTTAAACCGCAATTTCAAATAGGTATTCCAAAGCAAATTACAAGTCGTAGCCTCGGAGTTATTACCCTCTACAAGTGATCGCGTCTTGTAGCTTTGAATATGGTGATTTTAATAGTCTTTTCAAGTGTACGCAAGTTTGTAGCCTCGGAGCTATCACCTTCCGCAAGTGATCGCAGCCTGCAGCCTTGGATGACTTTTTGGCCCATAGCATGGCCTTTTATAGTCCTTCTGCAAGTGATCGCGGATTAGTAGCCTCGGGATTCCTGCAAGTGATCACAGTCCGTAGCCTTAGAAGACTATTTCGTAGGGTTGGTGGGTTTATCCTTAAACCACAAAGATTCGTGGGTTTTTCCTTAAACCACAAAGGTTCGTGGGTGTATCTTTAAACCTCAGGGTTGGTGGGCTTATCCTTAAACCACAAAGGTTCGTGGGTGTATCCTTAAACCATAGGGTTGGTGGGTTTATCCTTAAACCACAAAGGATAGTAGGTTTATCCTTAAAGGTTGGTGGGTTTATCCTTAAACCACAGGGTTGGTGGGTTTATCCTTAAACCACAAAGGTTCATGGGTGTATCCTTAAACCACAGCGTTGGTGGGTTTATCCTTAAACCACAGAGGTTCGTGGGTGTATGTCATGCCCCGAACCCCATCGAGCACGCAACATCCCTCCGAGGTCATCAAGTATGCGACATCCCAGGATTTGTCGCCGACCCAATCGAAACACTAGCGATTAAACGCATGCGGAAGCGAATACGAACACTCCATACAACATTCAAATAAACGGGGTAATAAGGAAAACACTTCCCACAAAAACCAGCAAGTCATTATAAGCTCATAAAGATAACTCAAGGAGGTTTACACAATTACAAGCCTCACACGAAGCCACTTCCTAACGAGGCCACGGATACAAAAGGAGGTTAACTTAAACTCCTCTACAACGGGGCATCCAAAAGGATGATACATCCAATGCCCAACATCACCCCAGAACTCCGAACCGCACATGACGACTACTCGTCATTCCAAGCCTGAAAATGTTTAACAACGGGAGATGAGATAAATCTCAATAAGTAATTACCTAAGCCTCGCTTAGGCTAACGCGTACCTCCGAACAATCCTAATCATGCAATACCGACATCCAACATGTCATAACAATCACAGGCACCCTTACCTTACCTCGGCACATACGCAATCCCTGCACATTAGAATCTCGCCATAACATGGCCAATTGCTCATCAAGCTTATACAACGTAATTCAAGGCATAATCATGCATAACACGGTTAATAATCTAGACGTGCTCATCAATTAACTCAGGCAAAGCATTCCCCAATGCAAATCGCACTCATTAAGTCCAGATTATTAACGACCCCTCGGGCCACCGAACTACTGCTGGTCTTCTGGCGTAACCAGGCATCGTCTCGCTACGTCGGCGACGGCAACGTTGGGGATCGAACACCCCCCGACAAGCCGGGTACCCAACGTCATTCCACTTAGGAGCATCGATCCGGCCTCCACTGTGATCGGCATCGTCTGGGATCGAACACCCCCGACAACCCCAGGTACCAGACGGCATCCGAACTCCCACCGGGCATCGTCTAGAACTCCTGCCTAGACAGAATGTGTCGTGACCATGCATACACCTCAACAATCATTACCAATTCTTATCTTTGTAAATTAGCCCAATGTCAGCCAAATCCGTCAAAACGCCACGATAACACCGAATAATTCTCGAGAGAGAGAAAAACCAAGAATGTACAAAACCGGGTCCAAATCGGGCAGTTGCGCAGTGACCGAAATCCATTTGAAATAAATAGTAAATCAACTCCAAAAATTATGAAATCAAAACATCTTCGTAAACATTTTTTATGAAGCACACAAATCCATTTCTGACTGTAAATGCCTCGTTTTGACACTCAAAGCTGGACAGAACCCGATTCCCTTGGACAGCCCCTCACACCATCAAAATACAACTCATTCAGTACCCAAATCACATTGAAAAGCTCTGAAATTTTTATATGTCATAGACACAGATGTTCTTAAAAAATTTTGTGAAGAAAGTTTGTTGAAAAGAGGTTTGGAAAAATTTATAGAAAATTGGAAAGACCAGAAGGTCGGATGAACAGTAAATCCGGCAGACTAAACACGGTCCGAAAATGGACTCCCGAATGACCTCAAATGATCTCTAAAAATTCCATATTTAATATATGTTATACTACAAGATGATATGAGCGACTTTCATGAAGAACACTTCCTCAAATTCGGCCCACACAAGTCTCTAAAAAAATAACAAAATACAGAGGCAGTGCAGTAGCGAATTCGAAAATCAACCAAATCAAGAATCATTAAGCAAGCCAAGCTCAATCAACTCCTAAACCAACTATCCACAGCCTCTAATCCACCCCTAAATATGTCCATTAGTAACCCATTATCCTAACCAAGGCTTAGCGAGTACTTACTAGGAACCTAAGCAAGAAAAACCGAGCAAAAGGAGCAGCTCAGTCATGGCAAAGCAGCAGCAGCGACGCCGGAGCAGCAGCAGCAGCCTTAGCGGACAAGCGGCGGCTCACGGTGGAGTCGGGCGGAGATGGGGGCTAAACGGTGGTGCTGGTCGAGCTGGAATGGAGGGCGAGAAGCAGCCGAAGCAAGAAGAAGCAGAAGCAGTGAAGCGGTGGAGCAGAAGCAGCAGCGGAAAAGAAAAGAAAGAAGAGAAAGAAGAAGAAAAGGAAAGAGAAGTCAGCAGCAGCAATACTGAGGAAGAAGCAGCACGTGAGGACAGCTTGAGGAGTCATCCAAGCAGAGGTAACGTGGGGTCATCGTGGGGAGGAATGGGCAGAAGTCAGCAACGTGGAGGAGTCCATCATGGAAAGTCAGCAACAGCAGCAGCATGGGGGAAAAGCAGAGGAAGTCAGCAGCAGAAGTAAGGCAGAAGCAGCAACAACAAAACAGAAGTAGCATGGGGGGTGTCAGCAGCAACGTGGGGGAGCAACGGGGAAAGAGGAGGAAGCCAGCGGAAAAGCAGTCAACAAGTGGGGGCAGCGTGGGGGGTCAGCGGGAAAGAAGGAGAGGAGAGAGAGAGAAGAGAGAGAAGAGAGGAGGGCTTCAACATTATCTCCACAAAAATAATTTGTCCATAAAATATTTTGCCAAATTTTCCTTTTTCCGCATTTCCGATCAAACCGACGATTAGCCACGTTTAATGAGACGACGTCCGACAAATTAGTCGTGGAAATCTTGAAACTTCGACGCCCAATTCGAATTCTAATTAATGGCCAAATTCAATCGAATGCGACTTTAGCGTATCTCGAACTAACGGACGGCTTTTAGGAATTACGCGTATTGACTCGTGGCCGATTCGATATCGAGCCACATCTAAGTTTACTCGAGCCATGGCGACCTCGGTTGTCATGTAATTGCGAGGGTCAATCACTAGTTCCGAATGACGCGATCGTTCGGATTAGGTTTAGGATCGTTCGAAATTCATACAATGGCCAAGCGGAATCACCCGCGATCCAATTGCACAACATTTGTGAATCGTTCCGTAACCATCCTTGGATCGGCCTTTAATGGCCCAAAATATTCCCTCGCCAATCCTTATGGTCGAAGTGTCAATCCATGGCCAAGTTCTTAGGTCCACGTACTTGATTCCTAGCTAGCCATTCCCTAACGGTTAGTCTACTCGAGAGTGATCAATTTCGAACGAGATTTGCTGAAAGCGCATTGACAAAATATTCATTTCATAAATCCTGAAAATTGATCGAAATTCAGAATGTCACAGTGTATCCTTAAACGACAAGGTTGGTAGGTTTATCCTTAAACCACAAAGGTTTGTGAGTGTATCCTTAAACCACAGGTTGGTGGGTTTATCCTTAAACCACAAAGGTTAGTAGGTCATCCTTAAAACCACAAGATTAAAATTCAATTCATCACAATCATTACCATCATCAATTCACATTTTGAGATAATTCGTGAATGAGTTCTCACAAACAGGTAAGTTTTTCTTTCCTTCAGTCACTAAAAACTTCTCAAATACACCAAAGGAGAAAAATTGGATCGGGTTAGGAACTTTAAAGTAAGATCCTTAATCAATTGTTGTGAAATCTTCATTTGTTTTGTCAGTAGAATCAATTAAAACTCAGGTGTCACCTTGTTTTTGAGATCAACCTCTGACGAGCTCAATCTCAAAGAGGGGCAGCTGTTGACATTTGATTTTTGGTTTATTTTTCAAATTTTCTTAAAAATCACAAAATTAGAATTAAGAACCTTCACCATGCTTAGGAACCTATTTCTAAACCAAAAATAAAATTTTTAGAATTTTTCCTTATTTTCTTTTTGGCTAAAATGAGTGGAAAATCAAGAAAAATACCAAATGGAATTCAAAAATTCCATAAAAATAGTCATTAGCCTTATTTTAAATCCAATTTTGTCACTACAGCTTCAATTTTGGAAAATTTCAATTGGGAATATGTTTTTCCCAAAATTGGGGAAAATCATACCCAAATTGAACCAGTGTGAGAAAATCATACCCAAAATTGGGGAAAATCATACCCAAATCATTAGTCTTATTTTAACCGGTGAGGGGGAGCTATTCGACGAAATTCCAAAGAGAAAAGAGAGAGAGAACTAGTGCGAGAAAGAGAGAGATCGAACGCAAGCGTGAGTAGAGACTCCTAAAGTAGAGCGATCGGTGCTTTTCCGATCGGAAAAGCGCCGGCAAATTGGTCCTACTGTTGAGTTTCCTCACCGGCGAACTTACAACAAAGCTTACCGGGAAGGCCTGAAACGGTGCCTCGGCTGATCAATCCAGAGCTTTCTCGGAGTGAAGAAGCTCATCAGTTTCAAGAGAAAGTGTCAAAGAATCACCCTACAGTCATCGTTTGCACCGAAACTTTAGACTTGATCTCCATCGAAATAGGTAAAGTCCGATCATGCTCACAGTTCAGTAAAATTTCAGAATAGGTGTTTGAGTTCAATCGAGCTCAATCATGCGTGTTTTTTTGTGATTTTGCAATTATAGATACTTAAACATGTTCCAATCATGTTTTTTCATTGTTTGATTGCATTTTGAATGCTTAAACCTGTATGAATTGAGTCAGTCACCCATTAAACCACCTCACCGGAGTGCCTACAGTGGCTTAGGCCATCCAAGTCAATGATTTTTGACCTCATTCTTTGCTTTGATTGTTGTTTGAATCAATTTAGATGATTAGGGCGTTCTATATGATGATCTAAGGATTAGAACAGTTTATTTTAGATAAGTTTGCGAGTTAGGGTTTTTGAATCGATTTTTTGCTGGCCAATAGTAGTTTGGCGGCGTAATGATTAGGCTAGATTGACAGTGGATGATCAGGACAATTCTCAGAACCGAAAACAATGGCAAAAAACTCACCGGAAGATCGTTGGCGGCGAGCTCAAACCGGCAGCCTTGAGAACCTTCTAACCTGGTTTGTGCCCACCACCTGCTCGGCGAAATGCTGTAATGAGCATGAGGCCAAACGGCGCCGTTTCGGCGCTGTGCCCGCTGTGGTGATGGCCGATGCCGGTGCAGGCCGGTTCGGTTTGGACGGAGCAATCTGAATCGGATAGCCCGGTTCAATCACATTGGCGGAATTTTTTAAAAAAAATAAATAACAAAAAATTCTAAAGAAATAAAAAAAATCATAAAAATCATAAAAATAGAAAAATCAGACAAATTTTTAAAAAAATTCAAAAATCGTAAATTTTCTTTTAGAAAATCCAAAATTTTCAGAAATTTGGGAAATTCAAAGAAAATTCTCAAAAATTCAAAAAATTTCTGAAAATTTCATAAAATTCTAAAAAAATACAGAAAACCCAAAAAACAATGAAAAAAATTCAGAAAATTCCATAAAAATTTAGAAAATCCCATAATCCATAAAAAAATCTTCAAAATCTCAAAATTTTTGGAAATTTAAAAAAAAATTCAAAAAATTCAAAAATTCACAAAATGGCTTAGAAACCCTGTGGCCACCCATTTTAAATGAAATTAGAATTTTTTGAAGTACCCAAGTGGCATTTTTAGGAACTCCTTAATTTAGGGATTAAAAGGGGTCTCAACCCCTAAAAAAAAATCCTAAAACTACATAATCCATTGAATAAATAAGCCTTTCGGGCTTTACTAGGGTTTGGATGTTTTGGACTGATTTTCCTTTTAGAGACAATTTAGGATTGCTTTGGTTGATTGAAATTGATTGCACGTTTTTCTTAGTGATTAATTGATTGCTTCTTTGATTAGGACAGTTAGAGTTAGTGGATAGGCTTTGGAAACTCGTGTGACACGTTAGAACACATTGTATCGTTAGGTACCGAAAGAGCATTAGTAATCTCAATTTGGGATTATTAATGTAACCAAATCCCCTTACTTAGAATCTCTGACTCGTAGAATCATGGTATTTCTCTCATACCTCAATTAGGTTTGTAGTCAACCTATCAATAATGACTAGTGGCGGCTCCAAATCGAAAACTTAGATTGAGTAGAAAGATAAAAATTACAACCCACTGTCACGTGAGGTATGGTCTGGGAGAGACTCCCGTTTGCCTAGTGATGGGATGTCTGTGGGACTTTTGGGCGAAATATTCGTATCGGACCTTAGTAGCCCATTCGAGGACAGTTTCCCCATTCGCGACAAATGGAAGTACCTCCTCAGCGTGCCAAAAGCGCGGCGCGACACCCAGTTAGGTATTTAATAGCTGAACTTATCATATACATGAATGAGAATAATCTTGGAAAACAAATTAGTAGTGACAAATTTATTATATGTAGATGCAATCACCATACACAATGCCGCCAAGGATTATGAATAGAATTTCCCCATTCACTAGTCAGGTGCTTATTATGAAATCATTTTAGATCTTAGTGTTATTTCATCTTATTGTTACCATTGTAATATTTATTGTTAATGGTTTCTTCTGCATAGATATTGGATTATCATAATAGATCTCATGGAACCATTTTGAGTCATGTACAACTTACTTTTTTTACTCATGGGATTATTTGAGACATTTATTTTGGCATTTGTTTAGTAAAATGTAAATAAATTGGTTATTCATTTTTGCAGGAGTCATCAAACTCTTTTCAGCATGCTAGGGTCAATGAGTTGAACGATTATGAAGGAACACATATCAATTGGCCGAAGTAACACATAATTTTGTCTATCTCAAGGAGGAGGAGGAGGAGGAATTCTCTCTATCTCTTTTCTGTACAGGCTTGAATTTATAGCTCGCTATGGATGAGCTCGACCTCGATTCCCGCCACTTCTCGTCAAGAAGAGGTAAAAGAGCTTGACCTTGAAATTTGAAGCAGTTACCCTCAGGTTGGTAATAGGGGTCATCTAAATTATTAATGTTACTGGAGCTATTATTGTTGCGGAAGCCAAGCGATCGAATAATAAATTTGACAGAACAAGAAATTAAATCGACCACCAGATTTACATGGTTTGGTCGTAGTGACCTATGTCCACGGGGAGAGCAGCACAGAATTTCACTATAGATCAAGCAATACAATGGAGATTAAACCACACTCGAGTCACTCAAACACTCTAAGTGTTTCCCAAGCCCCAATTACACCCAATATCTCACGCAGTGTTTAGCCCCACAATTCATCACGAAATAATTTCTCAATCTCGCGAAAGAATTATACACAAAT